GGCTCATAGAAGGATACATTTCTTGTCATTTAACTTTTTTTTCTGTACACGTACATGTATAGGTGTCATGATCTTTACTGTATTTGTATTCTTCCTTCGATAGTTGAGACTTGCTTACAGTGATCAGAGAGAAGAGATATGCTTCCTGGAAACACAACTTAGAGCCAAAGATGCCAAAATTACCCAGCTTGAAAAAGAAAACCAGTACCTTAGAGAAAAAATGCAGAGGTGAGAGGATTTCTTCAATACTAGTAAACAAAGATTTCTTAGACATTCTAAGTTACTCTGTGCTCAGCTGAAAAACTGGTCATTGTAAATTTGAAGGTTGTGGTTTTAAAGAATCTCTCATCCTCATCATTATGGGAGATGTGATATGCGTAGTGCTTCGTGCGCACCTTCTCAGGGTTAATTAATTAAAAATCGTTCACTAAAATGGACTTCTGAAGTTATCTTATTTTGTTTATTCCGTTGTGTTTCCAGGTATTAGTTAAGGAAAAGTGGCACATTCGTAGGCGATCAGCTGTTCACCAAACAGTTTGTTTGTACACCTGGCAGATCACATGTAACTTAAGTGCTATATTGCTAGAGTTTATTTCTGTGAAATACAGAAGTCCAAGGTATATTTCTGCTAAGTGCATGCTGTTATCGTTATTTATGTGTATGTTTTAGGAAACACTTTTTATTTGTCCCAAGTATCTAAGTGTTTGAGTATCTTGTTATTTGTCCCAAGTATCTAAGGAAAAAAAAAAGCAAAGCAAAGCAAACTATTTTATAGTTATTTTAACTAAGGCAGTGAAACATAATTACTAGTGTAAGCTCATTAGTAAGGCAAAGTAATCATGTAAATGTACCTCTGTAAATTTTAGTTTAGGTTAATTCTTGAAAATCATTTAGTTGTTGCAAGGTCCAAAGATATTTTCGTAATATTTGAATATCAGACTTCAGGGATTTATTCTGTTGTAGAAAAGAACTGTAAAGGGTTATGGTTTTGTTTCGCTGGAGTTTAGAGCTCTACCGATGTGATGTTTCCTTACTCGGAGTTACGAAGCAGAACACTTTCTTGGGTAGTTGGGTCATTTTTGTGAGGTGGGTTAGTGGGATTAGGGGTGGTGGTAGTTTGGATGGAAATCATTGTCTTCCAAGTAAATTTGAGTGAAAAATGTTGGGATACAAGTTTTACATTTGCGTGTGGTAAAGACGTGGTTTTCTTTCGTCTTCTGGTAAACTGACCATAAACCTGACCAGTGTGATGTACTAACTAGAAATGCGCAACTACTGTAATCATCCTAACCCGTAAACTTCCAGAAGTGATGAACGTTTAATTTCACCCTATGGTATCCATACATCATCTAGTAAACAGGTAATGAGAATACTCAATTTATCAGGTAAAAGTTAGTATCTTGATGTAACGCCAAATTCTTGTAACTAATTTACAAGGAAATGTGTTGTAGCTGGATGGGAGAATTAACAATCAGATCTTGGAAGGGCTTAGTGAAGAGAAATGAAGTGAAGTGGGGATTTGATTAAAAAAAAAGAGCTTGTGTATTGTCTTTTGTCGTCTTTTACGCATGTGAATGTTTGGCGGGAAATCACTGGAAGCTGCGACAATCGTTGACTTTTTCCATCGACGATTGTTACAAAATGCCGTAGTTCCTATTACAAAATACCTCAACGGTTATTACAAAGTATGTAGGTTATATCCGATAAAAACTTCAGGCCATTCTTCTGCAAAAGCATGGGTAAGAAAAGTTTTCAGTTAAGACAGGAAACTCTCTTCCACCCAAATGTGTAATAAATTATTAACTTTGTGCTTAAAACGCCCCTGGAGCCACGTAGCTTCTATTAGTTCAACTTCATGGCATACCATCGTGAGCACTTAGATGGACGCAAGTGTTCGTTAGGTAGGGAAGTTTTTAGCGAAAAAAGAGAGAGGGTTGAATAAGAGTTTTTGACATACATGTGCTTTCCTCTAACATCTTTTTGTTTCCTCTTTTTTTTATTTAAAACAGATGTATTTTATTCTCCCTTTCTTTATACATGAAACCTGCTGGAAGTTGATTGAATTTAACACCCACAATTAGACACGATTAGTCACAATTAACATGCCTCACGGTTGTTATTAAGAATATTACATCCAATTACAATCAAGCTTTGCTTACACCAGCGGGAGGGATTTAATCAATTACCTTCCAAAAATAAACTTTACATTTAGGTTACTTGAAAAGTTTCGATTCCATAACCGATGCTTGATTCAATGCTAAACGAAACTCTGGCAGAAAGGAAGATGAAATGGTTTTGGGTCGTTACATTCATGTTTCAATGCGTTCCTTACTTCATTCAGGTTTGAACAGTGATAGATTTAAATTCATTTTAACCCTTTTAAGGGTAAGCGTTAGCTCTCAATTTATATTGCAAGGGGTTTGAAGTAAAAAGAGTTTTCCATTTGCAAAACAGAATCCATGAAAGTTGGTGTGAACTGGTGTGAAACACAACACGTTTCTAGTATTTTTAAGTTTATACTTAGAAATGGAAGGAATATCTTGAAAAATAAATGGTTGTGTCTGTTCGGCGTGTCTGCTTAAAAAGTTTACAAATTCTCACCATGGAAAGCGCATTCCTCAGAGTTAATTAATTTGTTCATCGCTGAAATTATCACTATTCAGGTGAATGTCATTTCTATAACCGTTAGAATTGTAGCCAAAAAACCTCTCTCTCAGTCTTTTCATTCAAAGTCCTTGTTCGAAAAGGTTATGGCCAAGGAACGATATAAAAGTTTTGTTGAAGAGCCTCCTTCGTGTATTTTCAAAATATCAACACAAAACAACTGTAATAAATTACTGCTTTTTTCCCTTTATTCAGAGCACAACTACTCCAACAAATCAAACGCCAACTAAAGGTTAGCAGATCCCGCCTTGGTGTACGTTACGATTTACTCCGTTTGAAAATGTTGGTTACAGTTACAGGGAAAACGATTTTTTCAAGATAAATCTCTTACCATTTTGTCTCAAGTATAAGCGAAATTCAAAAATTCATGATCGCCGCTCCTCAATCTCCCTCACTTCATTTTTTGACAATGTTTAACGTAACACTGAATATAGTTTATGATCGAGGGCATAAATATGTTTTAAGCCTGACTCAGACTTACTTCAGCCCGGACCAACTGAATGAGCTCGAATAAACATTCATTAACAATTTTCTTTTCTTTTCTTTTTTTTTTCTTTCTCCTTTTTTTCTTTTTTATTATAAATTCTAAATGCAGTATATTATCGCGCTGTATCAATAAGTCTAGTATTCATTCTATATATTTATATTAAGAACTATTCTCTTAATACCCTAATTTATTATTACCTCACACTTGTATCTTGGACCTCTCTATTTACTTAAAAGGGACAGTAACCAACACAAAAGCTATGGCTACTTTGGTCACTGTGCACACATATACAAACCTGCATGAT